CCAGCCACTGTTCCAGACGCCCACGGGCTGGCTCTGGGGGAGGTGGGCCTCAAAGGTGCCCTCTGCCCCGACAGCCTGCGACTCAGCCGTCCTCACTTTGCAGGGAGACCCACAATGCACGGCACCCCGCATTTATTAGGGCAAACGTGCTTCCCGCAGGCCCTCACCCCCGCAGAGGCCCGACGGCCAGGAACACGGCGGCATGGTGGCCTCGCTTCACATCCAAGCTCTTCTGACAACGCGGATGTCGAGGCCCGTCACCCTTCGCTCGGGGGGCCCTCCGGCCCAGCAGCATGGCCTGGGCAGCCGGGAGCACTCTCCTTCCCTTCGGGCCGACTTCCACGGCGTCTGGGCCCGCTGTTCTGTTCTGGGCGGTCGCCAGACTGCTCACCGGGGCCCCCCACAGTTGGGGACGTCTCTTCCATGTGGAGGGAGGAGAAAGCAAGCTGGTCAGCTGCGCTCAGCACCGCGGCACTAACAGACCGCATCCCAGTCCCCACCCCGTGGCAGCGCCCCCCGCACCACGCCAACGCTCCCACACTGAGGCCGCCTTGGCAGCGCTTGTGCGGACCAAGGCCAGCGTGACTAAGACCACGCAGAAACACCCCAAGGAGGCCCCAGTCCGAGTCTCGGAGTCTCCTGCTGCAGCAGGCAGCCCAGCGCCTGGGCGCACTCACCGTCACCCTCCACGCCACTCTCCCCACCGTCGTCCTCGCTGTCGTCCTCGCTATCATCTTCCGAGTCTTCCTCCGAGTCCGGCTCCTCCAGCCACTCCTGAGCTCCTTTAAGAGACAAGCGCATAGCTGCCACCGCGGCCGAGAGGAGTCGCAGGGCAGGCTGGCTGTGTCCAAGGCAGCCACCATCTTCCCAAGGACCCAAAGCTGAGTCCGACTGTCCTGATTGACACCTTGGAGTCGGCAAAGACAGCCACGCTGCCTGGATGCCAGTGTAGAGGCAGGACAGGCTGCGCTGGCCAAGTGCCCAGGCCGCATGCCGAGTACGGAGTGGCCAAGCAGAGCCACTGCCACCTGGAGCCGCAGGGGAAGTCTGCTTTCTGAACTGCCAGAGACAGGGAGCGAGCGCCCCGGCTGTGGGGTGAGGGCACGCTGCCATCCCATCTCCCTCCCTCCATCCCATCGGGACACTGGGCACACACGTGTGCACACGTGTCTGGTGTGCCTGTTGGTTCGCCGCAGCCAGGGGCCCCCCCCCCCAGCCGTGTGGGAACTGGCTGTCCGACAGGCCACACGGCTGTCCAGAAAGCAGCAGCTGCTCTGACGCGACGGCCAGGCACCCCCACGGGGACCTGCCGCTTCTAGTCTTAGACCCTGACGAGGGCCCAGAGGGCAGGGAGAGGTCCCTCGCCCAGGCCGCCAACCTCAGGGGACTGGGGAGTGCGAGGGAACAGGGGCACCAGGACACACGGCCCCGTCCTTGAGCACAGCTGGGCATGGCACAGCTGAGGGTGCCCGTTCCGCTCGGCCGCGCAGGCTCACCTGGGTCCGTCTCAACCAGGACCTTCCACTCGTCCATCTTGTGCAGGTCGAGGCAGTACAGGTCGCCGAGGGTGACCTGGCGGTCGCCGGCCTCAAACATGCCTCCATAGACATAGAGCAGCCCGTGCTTCACGGCCAGCATGGCATTGGAGCGCGGGCTCGGTCCCGCCCCAGGGCCGCCCACTTCCTCAGGGCTGTCTTCGTCCTCGGACGGGGGCCGATCCACCGAGCCTGAGCCTGAGGCCGGGAGCACCTGCCGGATGGTGACCACGGTCCCGTCCTCTGCCACCACCTCTCGGACCACCTCCAGGGGTTGCGGGGCGCCGGCTCCCCCGCGGTGCGGCTCGCTGGCCCCTCCGGGCCCCTCCTTCTTGGCTCGCCTCCGCTTTCTCCTCTCGGGCCTGGGTCCCTGGTAACAGGACAGCAGGGCTGAGCAGTGTGCTCCCCCAGAATGGGGTGGTCCCCGGCAAGCCTGCTGAGGCGCACGCAGGCTCTTGGGGCTGTGTACGGACGGACAGTCTGGCAGGAACGCATCCCGCTCTCCCCTCAGCACTCAGCCCTGGACGGGAGGAAACGAGCCCGTGTCCTCGACCAGGAAGCACCACTCAGACCCCTCCCGAGGAGCCCCCAGGCCTCCACCCGCGCTCGTCCCACGGGGCGGAACTTGCAGGAGGGCCGAGAAGCCGCGTGAGTCCCCCAGCTCTGCTCTGGCCGAGGGCAGACTGTCCGAGCTGTGTGTGACGGTGCACATGTGACAGCAGCCTAAGCAGATGCCACAGAAGGCCCTGCTTGCCCGCCGCCAAGGGACCATCTGACCTGCGCCAGCTCTCCTGCCACACCCGGCTAAGGCCAGGCCCCCGACGTCTCCTCACGGGCACTGTCACATCACCGGGGCACACTTGCCACGTCTGTGTGGACTTCCCAAGTGCAACCCCCCAGCCTCAGCCTGTGACAAGTCAGGGGCCTGAGAACGCGACCCCACCCATCTGCGAGGATGGGCGTCCGAGAAGCCTGCCCGGCCTCTGCTGGCCTAGCCCCGCTGGGAGGAAAGGGCTGGAGGGCACCGAGTCCACAAGAACGCTCCGGGACTGCAGTCTGGCCTCTGACCGCCGGCCTGGCTCTGCAGCAGACCACGGGCCCTCGGGCCTTGGGGCCGTTTGCAGGTGGGCTGACCGGAGGAGCTCGCGCGGCCTGCAGCCGCCTGCACATCAGCCACCGTTCTGCCAGACCCCAGGCGGGGCATGTGCCAGGGCCAAAGGGGCCACACTGTGCAGACGGGGACAGCACAGAACATGGCGGGAAACGCAGTCCCGCCTAACAGGGCAGTCTATACCCCCCTCAGACTCTGGTCGGAGGGGCTCCGGGCATGAGGCCCGGGGGGGGGGGGGGGGGGGGGGGTGCGGGGGGGG